GAGGAAAAACAAAACAAAATGCAGAAAGGTTGGAGAGAGAGAGAGAAAGAGAGAGAGAGAGAGAGAGAGAGAGAGAGAGAGAGAGAGAGAGAGAGAGTGTTAATCCGTTAATCCTCCTCGTTAGCGTTAATCAGAATGACGAGCTTCTCGTCTGTCTCAGCTCGTTTGTTTCTTCAGGTTTGAACTCGGTCAGAGTGTTTTTTTGTTTTGTTTTGTTTTGTTTTGCTGCAGCTGGAACCTGTGCAGGCTGCGTTCAGTTCTGAGGATGTTCTAATGTTCTCTGACAGGGTTCTGTTAGAGTTCCACCTCAAAATGCTCAGATCACTCAGAACTGTTCCCATCAGCTCAACATGCTGAGGGTTGCACTTCTTCACTCAGGTTGTTTCCAACAGTTAAAAGTTCAGTTTCTGTGAAGTTTTATTAAAATCGGTCAGTGGTTCATGGGATATTTTGCTAACAGAGATAAACAGGCACTTACATCAACCAGCAGCTCCCCCTGCTGGTCACACCTGTAACCTGCGCTCCTCCATAGGCCCTGTGGCAGAGCTGAGCTCCATCTGCACCAGGAGGCCTGCAGGAGGAGCAGCAGGGAGGAGGAGGAGGAGGAGCGGGCGATGAAGAGGAGGAGGAGGACAGGCCGAGGCAGGAAGGAGAACAGAGACCCAGGAGAGGATCCGCTTCAGACCAGAACCACCAAAGACCAGAGACGGTGAGACCGCACCTGTGACCCTCACTGATCAGAGCTTCTCCAGACCTTCACAGCCTCTGACCCCACATCCCCTGCAGGATTTCACAGACCAGAACCAGGACCAGAACCACGCCAGTTAGATCTGGACTCAGGTCTGGGGTTCAGCTCCAGGTTTGCAGACCGGAAATCAAAACAGCTCTGATCAGGAAGACCAGGAGTCAGAACCTGATCCTGATCAAAGGGTCTGAAGCTTTGATCCTCACAGACCAGAGTGACCCAGGACTCACCAGAACCACCGGCAAGGTCTGTTACAGAACCTCACTGTGAGCAGGACTCTGACCCCCGAATAAGAACCTCTCATTGATCTTTCTGCCTCGGTCTAAGGTCCGGTCCAGATCCACGATGAAACTGCCCACAGAGACCAACAGGAGCTCGGACAGGACTCTGGGTCCAGAACCTTGCAAACCTGAACCGGGACAGCAGAGAACCACAGCTGGGTCTGGAGTCAGGACAAGAGTGAGGAAGAAGAGGAAGGTCCACCCCTCTGCGTTCAGAGGCAGAGGTACGATGGATCCACCTGATCAGAGAGGATTTAACCTCTGATTGGACCGACCAGCTGTCAATCACCTTCCTCTGCCTCTCCTGTAGGTCAGCTGCGGCTGTCAATCACTGCGGAGGCGGGACAACTCATCATTCACAGTAAGTGAAGTCACAGCCTGAGACACTGATAAGTCATCAGTTGTTAACTTCCTGTTTCTGTCTGCAGTCCACGAGGCCCGGGGGCTGATGGGCAAATCCTGGAGGTCATGTGATTCGTATGTAAAGGTGAGAGGGTGAACACCTGGATCGACAGGTGAGGGTTAACTTCCAGCAGCTGCCTCATGTGTGTGTGTGTGTGTGTGTGTGTGTGTGTTTACAGCTGACCTCTGACCTCGACCACAGCATCAGGAGGAAAACACGGGCGGTCCCGAACACAAAGAACCCGACGTATGAGCAGAACTTCACACTGTGAGACGTCATCACACGTTCACACGCACCTGTGACATCACACACCTCCACAGTCAGGTACAATGACATCACACACCTCCACAGTCAGGTACAATGACATCACACACCTCCACAGTC